TTAAATTATATTAGAACAATCGGCTACATTGTCAAATATATAATAATTTTCACCGCCAATCTCAACCTAGCTAGCAAATTCAAAGATTTTTCCAAAAAAAAAATCATAATCATGGCATACCACAAAACCATAACAAAGTTTACTGACCACAGAGCGTGGCCAATGGTGCCATTCATTGTCAATGACACTGAGCCGCTGGCATTATTATTGTCTTCGATGTAAGGCCATTGAAGGCTTGCCATTTGTTTTCAATTACATGAAATGAATAAATAATAAGTAGCATAAAAATATTCTGCATTGTTTTGTATTATTTTCTGTTGCTTTTTGTTATTTATTTGCAACAATGCTATACTTCCCCCCATCCGTTTTCACTCCTTTGATATTTATTACCACGGTAATGTAGCAGCATTCAATTCACACACAAAATCTATAGACAATAAGACCAGTTAAGAACCGAGAATAGTCCTTTTTTTTGGTTTATTATTTCTAAATATGTAAGCCCTCCAACTCGTCCTCCCCCACCCTTTCTGCAAAGAAAAAACAAACTTTGCTCTTAGCTGTTGTGGTCTGATTTCAAGCATAATTTATGAGCTTGATTTTTCGGTTATTATTTGCCAAGCGACTTTGGCTGGCTGGCTGGGTGACTGCTCGGTTGGTTGGGTGTCTAACCCACAACAAAAGAAAGTAACTCATATTTCGCCCGGGCGCCTGGCTTCCATTCGAGATTCGTAGATTCCAGTTTTTCTCTCTTCCATTAGAATTCTGTGAATCCTATGAACAATAAACACCCAAATTAATTGCTACAAATTGTGGCATTAACATTCAACAGGGACAATAGCAGCAGTAGAAGCAACAACAACAACAACGGTTTTGAAGGTTACTTCAAGGGGATGCCTGCCTAGATATATACACACACTTCCCAAATTAAGAGGGAGCTGGCAGGAGGAAGGAAGTGAAATTCAAATGGGTATTAAATGAAATCCCACCGTAATTCCAACGACAACGTTAGAATCGTGGGGACAATTTAATGCCTCGTGTAATTATTTAAACCAAAGTGGGCGGTAACAACTAATCTAACTAAAACAATGATAACAATGGCACAAACGCCTCAAGTGGATGGGAGGAGTGCAGAGAGTATCGTTGAAAGCAAGTGTTGCACAAAATTGTGATTTTTGATACAAACGGCGAAAGTTGGCGGCTTTGGGGTTTGGGGGATTTTTATTTTTAGAAAATAGTAATTCAAAAAATTAAAAAAGAAGTCTGTACTATTTATGGGCAACCAACTTCAGATTGCAGTCATTTCTAAGCCACTTGTCCTACAGCTGCTACAATTATTCCAGTGACAGCTCATTATATTATTTACCAGCGTACAAAAGTGTTTTGGTGAGAATTTTCCAAAAAAAAAAGTTTTTCGTGATGGAATTCAAGCGTTATAGTGTGATTTCTTTATATTTGGCTGGAAATCTACAAGGGCCAAAGGTTAGAGCACTCCAGCATTTAAATGTAAATAAATCTTTTGTGTCTCGTGCCATCGCTCGTTACCGTGATGCTGGTAGCGTAGTCCGACGTCAAGGAAGTGGACGGAAGAAAACAGCAACATCAGCAGAAATGTTTCGAAAAGTAGAAGCGACTTGATCGAAAACCGCGTTGCGGTGGCCGAATAATGGCTCGTGAGATGAACATATCGCAATATTCCATTCGGCAAATATTGAAAAACGGGCTCGGGGTAAAGTCATTGAAATTCCAAAAAGTGCATGAACATACACCGCAACAGAAATAAAATAGACTCAAAAGAGCTAAAGAGTTGCTTCGCTTGGCCGAAAGCGGTGAACTGCCGAATTTGGTTTTCTTTGATGAGAAAACATTCGTTATTCCGCAGTTCGTAAACAAACAAATTGATCGTGATTACTTGCCAAAGAGGATAGCTGAAAATGTGCAACTTCGGCTGGCCACCAGAACTCAAGCGCCGGCTATGGTGATGGCGTGGGCCGCCATAACAGCCGATAGTCGTTCTCCGCTAGTATTTATCGACCGTGACATCAGAATAATTGCCGAATATTCTGGAGGTTGTATTAAAGCCTTGGGCACGCAAACATTTTGACCAAAGACCTTGGACATTCCAACAGGACTCAGCACGCGCCACGCAAGAGTGGTTACAAAATGAGGTTCCTCGCATCATTTCCAGCCCACAATGGTCACCATAATCTCCGGATACCAATCCTTTGGACCATTGTGTCTGGAGTATTTTGGAAAGCAAAGTTGGCACTAAAAAATACCAAAGTGTCCATCACCTCAAGCAAGCGCTTCGCCGGGAATGGGCCAAAATACCGCAGAGCAACATTCGGGTAGCGTGTGACGGTTTAATTGACCGTTTGAAGGCCATAATTCGTGCCAAACTTATTCTAAAATTTGATGCTATTTCCGACATTTTTTGCTTTTTATACCCTACACCACAAGGTGGTCAGGGTATTATCTCTTTGTGCATTTGTTTGTAACAGGCAAAAGGAAACAAGATAGATCCATAGTTCCTTTTGATGATCTGAATAGAATCAAAATCTAAGTGGATTTATGCATGTCCGTCCGTCCGTCTGTCCATGTATTTTTGTAAACAAAGTACAGGTCTCATTTAGTTCCCCATCCAGATGAAATTTTGCACAGATCATTTGTTTGGCCCAAGGACGAACCCTATTGAAATTGGAGATAATCGGTTAAAATTTAGATATAGCCCCCGTATATATCTTCGTCCGATTTGCCTTTTATTGTGCACCAAACGTGTAATATCAGCCCGAATGGTATGGAATTTTGCACATACAACCAAATTAGGCCTGAAAATAAGTATGCCAAATTTGATCAAAATCGGTTCAGATATAGCTATAGCTCCCATATATAATGTTCATCCGATTTGTTATTTTTGTCCTCCGCAGCGGTAATATGCACTCTGTAACAACAATATTTGGGGAAATATATAAAATACAGCTCAGAAATAAATTTGCTAAATTTTATCGAGATCGGTTCAGATTTGGATATAGCTCCCATATATAACTTCGTCCGATTTTCCTTTTATTGTGCACCAAACGTCTAATATTTGTCTAAATGGGATGGAATTCGGCACTTACGACCGAATTGAGTCTAGAAGCTAGTATGCCAAATTTGTTGAAGATCGGTTCAGATACAACTATAGCTCCCATATATATTGTTCATCCGATTTGTTATATTTGTTACCCACCACCGTAATATGCACTCCGTAACAACGATATTCAGGAAAATATATCAAATACAGCTCAGAAATAAATTTGCTAAATTTTATCGAGATCGGTTCAGATTTGGATATAGCTCCCATATATAACTTCGTCCGATTTTCCTTTTATTGTGCACCAAACGTCTAATATTTGTCTAAATGGGATGGAATTCGGCACTTACGACCGAATTGAGTCTAGAAGCTAGTATGCCAAATTTGTTGAAGATCGGTTCAGATACAACTATAGCTCCCATATATATTGTTCATCCGATTTGTTATATTTGTTACCCACAACCGTAATATGCACTCCGTAACAAAGATATTCAGGGAAATATATTAAATACAGCTCAGAAATAAATTTGCTAAATTTTATCGAGATCGGTTCAGATTTGGATATAGCTCCCATATATATCTTTATCCGATTTCAAATTAATTGTGCACCAAATGGGCAACACAATGGGCAAAGATACAAATGCTTCGGCATATTTAGTCCTGTGAACTTTAAATTATAATCGTAGCGTGTATGATTGAATTCTCCCATAAAAACTTTTAATTGTTATGTGGAGCTCTACTAAATTAACAAAGTGGTGTAGGGTATCATAAAGTCGGCCCCGCCCGACTTTAAGACTTTCTTTACTGGTTTTTCAATAAAATGTAAAAATTATGGCGTTTGACTTTGTTGCAACTTTTTTATCTCACATTTTGGAAATGTGTACTATAACTGTCCGAAAAGTACTAAATAGTACTATATTTGGTATTGGGTGAAGGAATAGAACTGAAACTTGATATAAATGTCTCTGGTGATTTCGATTATTATGATATGGAACGTTTTGGAGGTGTTTTTGGAGATGTGTACTATAATTGTACGAAAAGTATTAAATTCGGTATTGGGATACGGAAAATCGCAATATTTGATATAAATGTCACTGTTGGTGTCTGTGGTTAATAAAAAACTGGGTTTTTTAATTGTACTAAATTCGGTAATGGGGGAAATTAAAGATCTGAAATCCTGAATTTCTGTATGGATGTCACTGTTGATGTCTATGGCTAACATATGGATGTGGTTTTTCTAAATATTTACTATAATAGTACCAAAAGTACTGAATTGTACTGTATTTGGTATTGAGTGAATGAATGGAGGCGGAATTCCGAGATTTGATATTGTTGTCTCTGTTGATATCTGGTTGTGGGGTTTTCCAAATGCGTACTATGATTGTTCGAAAGTTGCTAAATGGTACTAAATTTGACTCACTGGTGTCTAGGATGGTCTAGGATCCTGAAATTTGATATTAAAGAGCCTGAGTTAACATAAGGAGGCGTTGGAATAGTTTTGTATAGATCAATTAGATGTAAACTACAAAATGAAAGGTTTGGATGACTTTTTGGTGTAAAAGGTAAACATCTTGTGCATTTGGAGTACTGAAAAGGCCTAACACGAACTGTTGGGTCGAATCTAAAATTTTAAGATGGACTTTTCGTTGACGAAGCTACGGGCATGTACGCCATGACTATGACCACTTTAATATCTCGTCTGTAATTGATTTGTAGCAATACCAGGTTAACTTTATGTTATAGACCACCCGTCGTCTAACGACTGCGTCCATCGTCTCCCGATCAAAAATCGAATTTTGGCCACCCCGTACACCCACCTACTACCCATTGGAGATAGAGTGGGCAAACATTCATAATCACAAAATTCAAATTCAAAATCACAAAACTTAAGAATAATATCCTTAAAAAAATCATTTAAAGCATTACTTACTTGTCACGTTTGGTTTTATCATCGGCATGGTCATCCTTCATAAAGGATGGCTGTAAACTGAAACGTCTACGTAAATGGCGGCCTCTCATTTTGTAATATGTTTATGTATCAATGTATGGCGTACTTAAATTTTTAACGAATTCTTCGTTGCTGCTACAATTTTCTCCCGTTTTTCTTGGACAAAATTTTACTCTTCAATCTCGAGATTTAATAATAATACGGTTGATGATGATGGTGGTGACAATCCGCACGGTTAGGAAGAGGGGAAATTTTGTCTTTTGTCTTGCAATAAATTAATCTTGCAATAATCGTGTAAAATCTTTTCTTGACGTGTTGGATTATTCGTTCTCGGTGTCGTTTTTTTTTTCTTCTTTTTTTTAAATTTATTTAGAACATTTTTCTTGTCATTCGCATTGGAGGCAAGAGATGGTTACTTGGCTTTGTTGTGTCGGCAGCACCCTCTCCTGTTGCTCTTGGATGGTGAGTTGAGTTGAGTGAAGCCAAGGTTGTTGGTTGGACTTAATGCACTAGCAGTAGAAGCAGCACCACCACCACCACTACAGCCACAAATGACGTATTATCCTCTGGCGTTTATCTTTCACTTACTTAAATGAAGACATTGACAAAGTTTCCTTTTCTAAGCAATTTAGTGTTTTCTTGGCGGCTCACGGGTTTCTTTGCCGTATTTAATGTCCTGAATTTTGAGCTCTGAAAAAGTGGAAGAAAAAAAAATAAGGAAAATCATTTATCAAAAGTTTGTTTTTGTGTTAGTTTGACAATTTTATAAAAGTTTTTTTTTTTCTCTAACAAAATGTCATTTGTTTTTTTTTAAGAAATTCCGTTTTAATAAATTTTAAAATGTAATTTATCTTGTGAAGTAAATTGAAAGTGTTTTTAGGAAGCATTTAAGACTTTGTAAATATTTTTTAATTCAATAATATTTATTTTAGGTTAATTGATTTTCAGATGATTGTGTCTATGGTCCAAAATCATGAAATTAATCATTAAATATGCAGATGAAATGTAAAAAGGATAATGGAAACACTTTCATAAAGTGAGGAATGAGTACACATCTTATACAGGGTTGCCCATATTCGACGGACCCATGTTTTTTTTTTTTAAATCAAAGAAAAAAATAAAAATTTGGCGGTTGGCAATGTTAATCATTTAATTTGTTCCAAATAGATTTGTTCCCATCAATTTTTGAATATGATATCTCTCAAATGGCCGCCTCTGGCGTTGGTGACGTATTGTGCCCTTTTTGTTGCATTTTCCATCGTTTTTGCCAACATTTCGGCCGAAATAGCGGCTATTTCTTCACGAATGTTGTCCTTGAGCTCTTCTACGGTCCTTGGCTTGTTAACGTAAGCCTTTGACTTCAAATATTCCCACAAGAAGAAGTCAGGCTGCGTCAAATCGGGCGAACGCGGTGGCCAGTCCAAATCACCACTTTTCGACATCAAACGGCCCGGAAACAAATTCTTCAGAAAATCTATTGTTATTCGACTTGTGTGCGGTGGAGCGCCGTCTTGTTGAAACCAGAACTGCCTCATACGCTTTCGACGAATAATTGGAATCACAAAATTGGTCATCATGTCGCGATAACGCTCCTGATTGATGGTAACAGCATGGCCATTTTCATTTTGGAAGAAAAACGGCCCAATGATCGTTTTCGCACTAACCCCGAACCAAACTGTGACTTTTTCATCATGAAGAGGCACTTCTTGAATCTCCTGAGGATTTTCAGTGACTCTTTGGGCCCATTTCAATCGACGAGGCTTGTCCGCAGGCTACATTCTTTGCGTCAATTGAATTTTGTACGGGAACAAATGCAAATCAAAGCGAATAATCCGTTGTAAAGTGGACCGAGCCATGCCCAACTGCTGAGAACAGCGTTTTTGGGATGTTCTTGGGGACCTCTCAACACTGGCTCCTACGGCAGCAATATTCTCGGCCGATCGCCTTGGTCGACTTTTATATGGCCTCTTCGGATTAGAAAGAGCCTTACCAGTCGAAAATTTTTCGTATAAACGCTTAATGGCGTTCTAAGAAGGCGCACTTCTCACATTTTTTAATGTTTTAAAAGCACGTTGAGTGAATTTCAACTATTTCAGAGCGCTCGCGTGGCGTGTATTGGTTCATGGTAAAAATCTGCTTGGACTGACGCTTCAAACGCGGTATGTCATTAAGCGATGTGACATCTCTGTCAAAAGTTATGGCGTTGCCAGATGGGTCCGTCGAATATGGGCAACCCTGTATTGAACTTACGTGCCCATGGAGTATTTATCTTCTCTGTTAAATATGTCGAAAGAAATACTAAATCTTAGGAAAGCCAACATGTTCCCACCGATTTGGTCCAAAAAATTGTATTATGTATTTAAGCTTAGCTTAGATTTGAAAATTACTAATATCGACTGACACGTTTTTGTACCTGTTCCACAGAGAATTAAAACCCGAAATTACAATGTGCAATACAAAAAAATTAAACAAGTAAAAAAGCTGTAAGTTCGGCCGGGCCGAACTTTGAATACCCTCCACCATTTGGTAAAAAGTTGGCAATTTTCAAAAAATAAAATCCGTCAAAAATTCTGTTAAAATCTTAAAAATATGGAATGTTGCCGTATATTAGGGTCTATAAGACGACGTGGACCTGCATAGGCAATTTTTGTCATAAGCTATTACAAATGCGAAACTTGAAAAAAATCTGTTTATAATGTAGCTAAAATCATCAAATACCGTAATATAGGGAGGTACCGTTATATGGGGGCTATAGGAAGACGTGGACCTGCACATACAATTTTCTGTCATAGGCTGTAGTATGCATTACGAATCTCAAATACCAAATTTGAAACAATTCCGGTCAATAAATAATGTCGCTAAAATCATGAAAATACCGAATATCGGGGGTACACTTATATGGGGGCTATACGAAGACGTGGACCCCATTTTCAATACCAAAAGTCCTGCAGACATATACACATTTGGGTAAATTTTTATCAACTTACTTCATTTCGTTTGGAAGCTAGAGTGATTTCCACAGACGGACGGACATTGCACAATCGACGTAGAATTTTATGCTGATCAAGAATATATATACTTTGTGAGGTCTAAAATGTATATTTCGAGGTGTTACAAACGGAATGACAAACTTAATATACCCTCCATACTATAGTGGAGGGTATAAAAAGGGTAATGGAATAACTCTCATAAAGTGGGGTATAGGTATAAATTTTACATTTTAATATTTAGAAAAACAAGTTAAAAAGTATAATTCGGGTTTGCCGACAGATCTGTACCCTTTGCCAATGTTCGCTTATTTAAATATATATTGACTTCTGTAATGGTTATTCAAATTGTTGACCCTCTGTGGAGTGGGTTCTGAAGGAATGCACCACCTATTTCGCATTTTACCTGAATAAATATGACATAAATATAAATATTTATTGCCTTCATTTTATATGAGATATGTGATAATGTGCGTGAGGTACTAGATATAGTCAACCGAAATATTTCATTTCTATACTTCATCTAATACAGATAAAAATATTGTATGGACAAAGTTACAAGAAATTCGAAAAATTTTGACCAATTTTAGCGATGTCCGTCCGTCTGTAGAAATCACTTTTGCTTCCGAATGAATTGAAGTAGATTGATAAAATTTTACTCAAATGTATGTTATATCTGCAGGACTTTTGGTATTGAAAATGAGCCATGAATGTCCACGTTTTGGTATAGCCACCCTATAACGGTACCTCTCGATAGTCGGCATTTTGATCATTTTAGCTACATTGTTACCGATTTTTTTTAAGTTTTGCATTTGAAAATTGACAAATGTTACCTATGCAAGTCCATGTCGTCGTATAGACCCTAGTATAACAGCTACATTCGGCATTTTTAAGATTTTAACAGAATTTTTAACGGATTTTATTGTTTTTGAGAATTACCAAATTCGTTGCAAATGGTGGAAGGTATTCAAAGTTCGGTCTGGCAGAACATACAGCTTTTTTAATTGTTTTTTTTTTTAATCTTATTATTATTATTATATTATTTTCCTCTTAACAGCCAATATTTTATTTTTAATTTCTTGCCGAGCCTCCTTCAAGTGTTCTTTGTAACAGCAAGAAAATAGCCAGCATTTCATTTTAATTTTTATTGAAGCACTGATGCCTGTTTAGCAATCGTTTATCGGGGCCCTCTTATGGCCCCATTTTATTATCCGGGATAATGAAATGTTATTCTAATTGTTATTGCTGCTACTACTGCTTATTATCATTTCTCGGGGAACATTTATAATAAATGGTGTTGTTGTTGTTGTTATTTTCCAAAGTACACAACAACTCATTAAATGAGTTCTATAAATAATGACGTTGTCTTTATGGCATAAAAACATACCCATGTTTTTTAATGTTAATTTGCAAAACAATTAATTTTGTTTGAATGTTTGCTTTGTTTTCGTTTGTTATTCTTCTTTAAATGCTGGTTTACAACAAATGAAGAGGGTCGATATTTTGTTTACAACAAAGTATTGGACGCAGATAAAGAAGCCTTCAATGTGAGACAAATACTGCAAATAAGGGCTCCATGAAAAAAAAAAAATCAACAATTAATTATCGAAAATGAAACCCTACAGGACTTGTTACTTAGGATTGTGTGTTTAGGAAAATTAATTTATGTTTTTTAATATTCTATTTTCAATATAATATTCGAGCATTAGATGATGTAAATTATAATTCGAAATTGTAGTTAATTGCGTGCAATCAATAAATAATATAAACAAATATTTTTGATTTAAAATATTTAGCAAACATTTGTGGAAAAACGAATTTGTTGAGTAATTTTTGTGGTCAGTATGTTCAACATTAAATATTTAAATAAAATAGATTTAAAAGCATTTCTAACACATTGTGTGTTACTTCAAAAATAAGAGCAAACAATTATAAAAACTGTGGTTTGGGCACCCTGGGCGTATGAATAACATTTGTTTTTAATAAAATGATCATACGCCACCTTTATATATTTCTTTGTTTGCAAAACAAAATAAAATACAGTCGATTTTTAAACGATTTCGATTCCGTTTGTAACTCGTCGAAATAATAATTTTAGACACAATAAACTATGTATATTCTTCACCAGCGTAAAATTCTAAACCTAGCCCTGTCCGTCCGCCTGTTGTAATCACGCTAGAGTCAAAACGAATTAAGATAGGGAGCTAAAAATTTGCACAGTTCCGTTGACCTGAAGATGGATTATATCGGTCTTCGATAATCGGACTATATCGGTCCACGATATTCGGTATTTTAATGATTTTAGGCACATTTTTCAATGGAATAATATTAGCGACATTATCCAACGGAATTGTTTCAAATTTCGTATTTGAAATTCGGAATCGGTACTACAGCCTATGACAAAAAATGACTTGTCTTCGTATTGCCCCATATAACAGTTTTCATTTAAGTGGTATTTTTAAACTTTTTTTTTATTTTTTAAAGATCTTTCAAATGATGGCGGGTAATAAAAGTTCGGCCCGGTCGAACTTAGCTGCTTTTTTACTTGTTTTTACAACGCGCTGTGTTTTAAAATTCCTATTTAAAAAACCCCCCACTTTTGTCGTCATCAATTTCCAAATTATTAATCGGATTCTATTGTAAAAATATTTAAAAAAGATTAAAGGTAAATCGAAACTAAACCGAGATTATGACGTTGCT